CCGTCCCGGCATTCCTGTAGGTCTACCACGACATGTTCTCAGAACCCAAACATGTTCTAAGAATAAAAACAATGTTCTTAGAACAGAACACCATGTATTAAAACACAACAGTCTCCGCCAGAAATGTTCTAAGAACTTTTCGTGCAAATCACAACATGTTCTTAGAACATTGTTTGGTCGGGTTATAGGCGAGCCAGGACGCTTCGCCACTGCTTGGAACGCCTCACGAGGTGCAATAAATAGGGGCTCGGCCACAAGAGACCTTCCACAAGAACCCCAACCCTGAGACCCCCAGAAAACAGCAAAACCTTTGGGAACATCACGCTCTCCACAGCAGAACCATCGAAAACTAAGAAACCCAGGGCACCAGGCAAGCAGGGTGTTTCTTGGCATGGGTCTCCACTGTAGATGGGGTCGCATAGATATCGTAAGCGTAGATGGGGTCAGAGAACCGCGCCGCATCGCCGACTCATCGTCGATGCATCGGCAATTCATCGGCTACGCAGGCGATGCATCGGCGGCGTCGGCAAGGAGAACATCGAGCTCCACATCGAGCCGCATCGCCGGTGCATCGGCGATGCGGCGTGATGCACCGACCCCCCTACTTCGACCCCCCTGTGGGCGTCCTGGAGCATGCTCAACCACCATATTCACGGCAAGTGCAGTCAACCCGTATAAAGGATGCACGGTAAGGACGCAAGTGCCTTGGAAGGCCATGTCGACACTTTGCGCGCGGGGCGCGGCCAGCAAAAGCGGCCAAGGAAAGGCCGCATTGGGAAAGATGTAAGGGTAACCTTGGAAAGTCGCTCATCCTTACTATGCGGGTTGACGGTATCTGAAGGAGGTGTGGAACCACAACGCCACGTCTTGCCGACTCCCCACAGCTGCGCTTTTACCATCGGCCACATATGCGAATGAGCATACCTGCCAATGCGTATGCACATGCAGCCAGGCTACCACCACGATGAACGCTGAACCAGGAATGGAGCCCCTTTTCTTGGGCCCCCGAGAGCTCCTGAGTGCGCGAGGGGCGCTGGATGAGCAACCATGGAAAGCCCTAAGGAACACCGAGCGCCTTCCGAACACGAGCTGGTCAACATTTCAGCGCCTGGAGGACGTGCGGGGCGCGTCGCTTCCACATGCTCGAAGGTACGCACGCTGTCGCATGCACACGGCCGACTACACATCCGCCGCCGTGCCCCCGTGGCACGAAGTGGAGCGTCCGCAGGATCTCTGCTCAATCCTCTGAGCCTCAGTTCTCAGTCCTGAGGATCCTTTTGTGAGACCCAGGCCCGCTGCTCTCGAGCACTGCTTGGCCCCGATGAGCAGGGCAGCGCTCCGCCACCTGACCTGAAGCCGTGCGTCCAGAGCCTGCTCGGCCCCGTGGGCCGAGCGCCGCTCCGCCATTCGACCTCGAGCCAAGGGGGCTAGGATTGCTTTCGTCCAATTAGCGGAGCGGCGCTCCGCGAACCGGCCCCCGTTCGAGAAATGTCCATCATCTCGCTCCCATTCGCGGAGCGCGCACCGCTCCTGGGCTGAGACTCCCCAATCTCCGAATCGGATCCCACGACATCCCCACGAACATCCGAGAGACCCATGACCCACACAACCGGGCACGGTGGCGGGATGGGCCGAAGGCCCTTAGCTCCGCCGCCCACCATGGTCTTGCCACAGGGGTGCCTGGCGTGCTGGATCCTTTCGGCTTCGGTTTTTTTAGAAATTCCCCCTGGGGCTTCGGCCCAACGCACCAGCCACACGCAAGGCGCGCAAACGACCTCAACGTCCGGAACAAATCCTCCAAGATGGCTCATCATTGCCTCCAAGAGGGTCGAGATGGCCCAAGATGGCTTCCAAGTTCGCCCAAGATGGTCCCAGATGATCTCCAAGACGGCCCAAGAGGGTCCAAGATGGCCCAAGATAGCCTCAGAGGCCTTCGAGATGCTTCCAAGACGGCCCAAGAGACCTCCGAGAGGTCCTCCAGGAGGGCCCGAAGAGGCAAAAATCAGTGATTCCCCTTAGGTGTTTAACATATTTTCGTATTTGTTCCTTTTCGGCCTTCCGACGGCCCACGAGGCCCCCAAGATCGCCCAAGGGGCCTCCAAGACGGCCCAAGAGGCCTCTAAGACACCCGAGGAAGCCTCCAAGACGGCCCTGGAGCAGCCCAGAGAGGCCTTCAACGGCGTCCGACAGCGCCAGACGGGCCTGAAGCCCACCAAGATGGCCCAAGGTGGCTCTAAGATAGCCCAAGACGGCCCAAGAGGACGCAGCAGCCCGCCCGCTCCTCGAGGGCAGGGGCGCGAGGGGAAGGGCACAACCAGCAAGCCTTGTCGTCCCCACCGTTATCCTGCTCCTCGTGCTCCACACACACAAACAAACTCCACACACACACAGACGCACTTTTTGCGTCGGCAGCTGGGCAGAGGGTGACTGCTCCGGCGGAGTGGCAACAGGGGACACGCTGTATGCAAATTGAGGCCGCCATGCACGGAGGAGGAGAAGGAGGAGGAGGAGGAGGAGCCCCGGCGCGACAGGGGGAGAGGAAGCCGAGCCAGTCAGAGCTGCCGACTGCGGCGGAGGGAACTCCGAGGTGCACTGAGCTGCACTGAACTGAAGCTGGGGGGGAGGCAGCACTGACACACAGACACACAGACAGACACAGAGATAATTACAAGCACGCGCATGCACCTATGTGCTACGTGCACATTCGGATCCGTACCGGACACTCATCGAGGTAGGAGGAGAAGAAGGAGGCTTCTCCACCTCCTGCTTCATCCCTCCTCCTGCACCATCCCCGTCCCCCTCCCATCCGTCCCTCCCTCCTCCCTTCCACTTCCCCCCTCCTTTCCTTCTCTCATCTGGCTCTCCCCCCTTCTCCTCCTCATCCTCCTCCTCCTCGCATGTCGCAGGGGTCAAGGGAAAATCGTTCCAAACGGCCCCCAGAAGAGGTGAATGCGAACATCAAGCGCTGGCTCGTGCCCAAATCTGAAGGGAAAAACGTTATCGGGCGCGGCCTGACCGACCCCTGGCAGACCATTCCCATCCGTGACGCCATTCTCACCTTTCGAGCTCCCCTCCGGCCGCCTACATGCGCCTTGGGGCGAGGCGAGGGGGACGCCACGGAGGGTCTGCTTTAGGCCGCCCCTGGCGATAGAGCGGCGATGGGCCCCCGATAGCAACAGCAAATCCGCACGTGGAGGGGAAAGCACACACAGACACAAATAATCGCCGATTCCCAAGAGAAGATGGTGAAATATGGAAAGTGGGGGGGAAGACAAAGACCCAGAAAACATGAGAAAGTATGGGGAATGTTGGCATTTGTGTGTATTCATTTGTGTCCTTGGGAGCCTGGAGCCTATGTTTTATCGTCCGCGGGGCGCCCGTCACCGGCCCGCCCCCCCCCCCCCTGGTCACGTCACGATTCGCGCCAGCGTCGTGGGGGAATCAGCCAGTCCCAGGCTTAAGTCGGGCCTGCCCTCCTACAGGGGGAGCTTGGACGGAAAATACCAACAAACAATACTCAATAAAAATCGTCCCCATATAAATTTTTTCCCCATTTTTGAATATACCCCTCCTGTCGAGGGACAGGCCCGACATCGTCCTGGGCCTTCCCAGTCCTGGGCACTCCCGGGCGGCGCAAGCGCCACTCGTGACGCGACCAGGCCCCTCCCGGCTCCCGGTGGCGCCAACTGTCGCTCCCAGCGCGGCGCGGCCACGGGCCTCCCGCTGGCCATCGCTCGGACGTCCATCCCCTGTGCCTTTTTTCGGCTTCGTGCGTGGTGTTTCGCAGGATGATCCAGAAGGCTCCCCAACGATCCCCGCCGAGAAAACGTGCACACGTCCGAGCGATACCGAGCCCGAGGCTGGGACGCCGGCGAGGGCCGACGAAGACGGCAGAGAGCCTCGAGACTCGGGTGCATCCCCTGGCGCTTCGAAGGGAGCGAACGGAGGGGGGACACAAAAACGGGTAGGGCAGAGGATCACGGCTCACGCAGCTGATTTTCCCCGCGCCTCCCGGCGCCGGGAGGCGCCCAGACATCGAGGAATGGGCCCGGCGGCGGGGCAGAAACCAGCTGCACGCAGCAGATTTCGTGACCCCCCCTTTCCCTACAGTCGGAGCGTTGACCCAAGGCACGAGGCCCCTATTCTCCATGAGTTGAACTTCGACTTCCGATCGAAAACGAAAGGATAACCTGAGGCAAGCTGTGAAGCACTTAAGGAACACGGAGCCCCTCCCCAACGAAAAGGGTTCCTTCTTCAGGGCCCCGACTGCACCCCCCCCTTTCGCTCGGCCCGAGCGTTGCCCCTGACCCCTGCGAGCCCACGGCCTCTCCCGGCCCAGACCTAGATCCCCCTGCAGGCGGATCTGGGACGACAGAGAAGACGGACCCCAAGAAGAATCAGACAGCATCCAGGATGGGAAAACACACATCGTCCCCAGGCTATGCTTTTGACTAGTTTTGAACACTCCCCCTCTGGAGGGACACGCCCGACCCGAGCACAGGCCTCTGCCAGGCCTGGGCGGCGACGAGAAGGCCCCGCCCCCCCGCCGAAGGGGGCTCCGCTGCTGACGGAGCGAGCAGCACGCACCCACACCCATACGGGGGGAACGGAGGGGGCCGTGGGCGCGTGCTGTCGCATGGGGGTCCCCGTTCGAGCGGGAGCCTCCCCAGGGGTCCCACAACCCGCACCCATACCCATAGCCAGGCCCCCTTCCTCCGACCCTCCCATGGGCCAAGGGGTGCCACAGGCATCCAACTGCTCCAGTCTTTTTGGTGCGTGGACCCAGGAGGTCTGGACCACTTCCCCGGGACCAGTTTTTCGTCCTGAATCGTTTCCTGACTCTCCCGAGGCCCGGCGAGGGCCCCCGGAGGCCGAAAACGGCCAACAAAAACCGCCCGCTCCACTTTTTGGGGGAGCGTCGGATCTCAGGGGGCGTGATGTTCCTTCCTCCGCCGCGGCCCGCGGCCCCCTTGCCAGCCCCGTGCGCGCGCAGCGGGCGCCTCTTGAGCAGCCGGAAGGCCCGGCCGCCCTCGGAGCAGGCCACGATCTGCGGCGCCCGAGGGGGGGAAAGGCGCTGGGGGGGCGAGGGGCAGCACGAGGGGCAGCCACCGGTGCCGCGTGCCCCCGGCTGGGGACGCGGAGGGCGGGAG